TAATAGTAATTCGAAATTATCCATATGTTCATTTCGAATTAAGGTTTAAGTTTTCTAATTTCTGTTTATTCAAAACCTACGTTTCTGTTTTTTTTGTATCTATAAAACTCAGAGAACCTTCAGACATTAAACACATACTTTTTCTATAATACAGAGAAATCTAAGCCTGGATCTATATTACTATAACTATCAAGTTAAATATACACAAATTGGAATGTTTCTTAAACGCACATCTGTCTTATAGATCGATAAATGATATGAAGACATAATGGTGTAGGGTGGGTAGCCAAATCATTTCACTATTCACCAAATTATAATCATGACCTTTGCTGATGGACAATTCAAAATTAGGTTTTTCTGTATGGCTACATTTTTCGTCATCTTTTCTTCATAATAACATCATCAAGAGTTAATGATGTTATTTTTTTATTCCAGCTCAAAAATATAAATACATTTTTCCTCGTACAAGCTTATGGACAACAAAAGTTTTTTGAAAATATATTTTCATTCAAGACTATCAATTGGGTTCTTGAAAAACCATTTCTTGAGTGGAAAAAAGATATTCTAATGTGAGTTTAATGCGCAAAATGATCCCTCTCTGCTATTGATATCTTATAACATAGTTTTGTCTATCTCATATTACTTGGACACTGCCAAGCAAATTCTTTACCTACAAACTCACTCATGTCTAACGCTTCTAACCTTCACTCCATTCTTATTTGTCTCGTGATACATACAGAAAAGACGGGCATCTCTTTTTGTCTCAGAGTTATAATGAAGGATATGGTGTCGTACTTTCATCGTTTTATCGATCATAAAATCTGAAGCTCTGTATCACCTATCTACATGGCGAGTAGTTGGGCATCGCCATGTAATTTTTCCTGCACCAGAGATGCAATGAACACTCAGTGGGAAGATCTTTTTTTTTCAATTCTTGACTCTTATGTTCATGGTATCGGAATTCTTCACATCAAATATCAATTTAAGATATTATTTAAACATTCAATAACTGAACTATTAATCCATTTTATTCTTTTTCTAGGGTTTTCGAAGAATTTATTTTTAATTATTTTTGTCTATATTTTATTACTCTAACTTGGGGCGTCAAGTATGCGATTTCTTTAAATACACCTGAATTAGGCCTCAGGTTTGATATTTTAAACAATCCTACCTTGTTTTTCTTTTTTACTTCAAGGTTCACTCCGTACAACGCCTGGAGGCCATTCGTGATAGAGGGTTACATTAAGAGGTAATTTATACGGAGAGGAGGGGAAGATAACGACTAGACTTGAAAAAGGTTAAATTATAGTGAACGTGGAAATATCAGAAAAAGACAGTTGAAATTTCTGAGGTACATAAAGAGGTAAGAATGCTTGGCGAATTTAAAACTCAAAAGTTTATTTAATGCAAGAGAAATCGTAAGGGAACAAAATATAACTTCCTTAATAAGTAAGTTAAGTAGATATATAATAGAACAGGACAAAGTGGGATGAAACAGTAACAGGTGTTACTTAGAATAAAAAATTACCGGGAGTTGTGGAGAGCCATGATTCCCTGCGCTTCGAAAGGACATGATGCATAAAAGAAGTAAATCATACACAAGTAATAGTTGTTTGTTAATGGAAAAGCTTCAACTTTTTTCCAAAAGCCAAAATTTTTAAAAAAAGTAAGTTTCATAGGCTTGTCTGACTAGTAGGATTACTGTGATAAAACTGCATGGCAGTGGTTGTCATTTTGTTGAGCAAAAAGGAAGTAAAGTTTGAAAAATGGATTGCGTTGGATCATGTTCAGTGGGAGAGGTTAACTTTGTTATGAAGACGACATCCATAGAATATTTTTTTTGTTTTAAGCTTCCAGAGTTTTGAATAAGCGATCGAGTACCTATAATAAAAAATCGACTTTTAGTTAAATTTAGCTGGATACGATAGTACAGTGACATAAGTAAAGTTTTTTAGCCAGGAGAAATAAACTGCATCCAATTTCAAAATTTAATTACGTAATCCCTATTCAAAAATAAATAAACAGTATTTGGAACTAATATGGATTAGTCCTCCATTTGCTAGTTTCAGTGGTTGTATCCGATTTTTCATGGATTTGATCAAGTTATCAACAATCATCTGATCCGTATTTTGCCACTCCTTTAGCAATGTATCTTTAAGGGTTGCCATTGACCTGATTTTGGTTGCACACTCTCGAAGTCTTCGGTGAAGGTGACTTGATTTCTTGCAATTCCTTCCAGGCCTTTGCTACTTTGCTCGTATGACATGGCGCTCCATCTTCTTGAAAAGGTAGACATTGTTGTCAATCTAATTGGTTTCAAATAGTGGGAGTAGTCCTTTCTCTAATATTTGAAAGTATTTTGAACCATTCAACCGCTCGTCAACAAGAATCAGCTCAGATTTTCCCCCACATCATTATTAAATTCATCCATGTTTCACGGTCGCCCGCAGACATTCAGTGTTCCAAGTCTCATTCTGATTTCTATAAACATAAACCTATCTCTAATTTGAATATCGGCAGAATTTACTTTCATCTGACCAAAGTACAAACTGCTAAAATTCATAATCTTTGCTCTCGAATTCATTCACCCTGTCCATACGCCTGTTCCTGTTAACCTCTGAAATCAAGAGCATCTTTCTTGCAACTCTTTTTTGATAGCCTAGCTCTTTCGGAGTCTTTCTCAACGCATATGGCAACATTTCCATGCTGTTGACGACATCTTTGATGCTCTGATGACGGTTTCTGATGACTTCCCTATTCAGTGCCATTTTCGTTCACTCAGACACGATGTTTGGTCTTCTTGAACGTTGTTCCACTCGACAATGGCCTTCTTCATTAAATTTCTTGACAATATTTACTGTTTGATGATTAATCTGGAAAAACCTAGCAATTTCTCTATTTGACTTGCCACACTGATGCCATCCTATTATTTGCCCTTGTAAAAATTCACTAATTTCCTTACTACCACGAACTTTCATTGCAAGATATAAGTCAACTATTGTTCATAAATGAGAGTAGCTTGTTATTAGCACGGTATTGTCTGAAAAAAAGAAGAGACGTTATTAAACAAACCAACATTGCTGTAATCAAGGGTGGCTAAAAACTTACCATAGCCCAATATGTTACGATTATTTGTGCTAAAAGTGAAGTTAGCGTATCGAGATCAAATTCTGACCGGTTCTGTTTCATTCTTTTCTTTGTGTTACTAAGATTCATCCAGTCCAAAGCTCAAGAGTCACTCTAAGTAGAGCGTTAATGAATGAAATGTTTTATATGAATTTAATAGAAGGAGGCGAAGATTCTGAGGATAAGGAAGATGGATAGTGACTGACCATTGAGTGAAGAATTTGAATTGTAGCGTCGAGGGAAGCATCCACGCGGTAGTTTGCAACCAAAAAATGCTTAGTGGGACTTCCTTCTTAATACTGGAATCCGGAGGAAACATGGGTGGTTCCGCTCCGTGGACATAGTATGTCGAGTCCTGGCTATAAAGGTCTGAATTAGTGAAACTAAAGAGTAGAGCCCATCGGCCATGGGAATAGCGACTGATTGGCGATAGTTTTGCAATATTGTGTGTGTGGTGAAAGAGGCTGCAAAGTGGAAAGCTGGTCATCCCCTACAAGACCGTGTAAACGTTGTTGAACTCGACCAAGACTGGAAACTGAGAACCAGGAAGCTCGAGATCCGCTATATTAGCAGAACTTCATTTTGGGCCCTAATCCGACTCTGGTAAGGATAAAGCATGCTAGCAGGAGTCTGGTCCATCTTAGAGTGGCAGAACGAGCCAACCATTTTTCCTGCATCAACTTCCCACTTTCTTTTCTATGGGTTAAATATTAAGATATCTGGTTTCTCTTGCCGTGTAGTGGAAACAGTCTCGAAAAATGGCAACAATAATAAATCAACCTGTAACTGAATTCTTTTGTACGCAGTTTTTATTGAGTTTTTATTGTTGTTGTTGTTGTTGTTGGATGTGAGAGTAGACCAACTCTAATTGTCGCCAAAACGTGAAATTGGCAGGAAAACCCGAATTCTTAGCGAAACTATTCCATTCAATTCCTAAGCGTCAAATAGCATGATAACGGGCTTCTCTTGTCGTATAGGACAACCAATCCAGGAAAAGGACAACTCAGAATTACAAAACAGCCTGAAGAGGGTTGGACTCCGTCAGGTCATCTCGCACTACGTTTCGCTACTTTGTGGAAGAGACTCCTAAAAGGATGCTTCCCCGATCATTTCAGTCTTAACCTATGCAAGTTTAGGGTTAACCATTATCTTCTCCACATATCCCCATAAACTGTGCCTCTTACTCTCTAACATTCTACATAGAGCGGCTCTTGAGCCTTGTACAGGATGAACTTTATTATAAAACAATGTACTGCTACGGCTGCTGTACATGTGATGTGGCTGTATTACAGAATTCGTGATCGGGAATTGTTTCACAAAATTTTCTCACCGTTGTCTATTAATCCGTGTACTTGTAAAATCGCAACTAACCTCAAATGTTCGAATCGGGAATGTTGAAACTTTTCAAAATGTCACTGATATATGAAATATCAGAGACATTTTTTTCGCTATTGGCCCAAACTAGGTGCGTGCATCGGTTATATTTCTGACGCGAGGCCAGGTCAAATACGCGTGTAACATACACCAAGTGGAGATTGGATTAAAGATAGACTGGGTGAGGGGGGGGACTGAAAATGGACTTTAGGTTTCACGAGGTGACAACAGCGTCTTCTATGAGACGTTGATCTTTTCTCCGACAAGACTGGCCTCAAAGAACCGACATCAACGCTGATTACTTTCGAAACTAACTGAAATAAAGCAGTCGTCATAAATAAGTCCATAAATTACGTTCTTCAATGAAAACTGAGCTTCATCGATCGACTTTGTTTTTTTTTGTTTGTTTTTTTGTTTTTTTCATTTTCCATCATATTTTCACCATTACAGTTTTTCACCATTTTGTATTCAAACATCTTTCCTTTTTTTTCCATTCTTTCATGATCTATCCTATATTAAACCTTCTTTCTTTCTTTCTTTCTTTCTTTCTTTCTTTCTTTCTTTCTTTCTTTCTTTCTTTCTTTCCACATTATAGCTCATTTCTCTTTTCTTGTTTATCTCTCATTTTCTTTTTTCTCTTCCCATATTTTTCGTCCATTATCATTTTCTTTTTTTCTTTATCTATTTCCTTTTCGACTTAAACTTCTTTTTTTCTTTCTTTCCAAATCTCAGCTCTCTTCCCATTTTTCTTGTTCTTCTCACCCTTCTTTTTCTTCTCTTTTTACTGAATCTCCACAGCCTCATTCATTTTTTTTCTTTCTTCTCTTTAATTTTCTTCTCATCGTTCTTTATCTTCTTTACGTTTTCTGAGGTTTTCCTTTTTACTTTTCTCTCTCTTTCTCTCTCTCTCTTCATCTTTCCATTTTTCATTCTTTATTATTTTTACTGTTTTTCCTTCCTTTCTACTGTCATCTTCTTTTACATATTTTTCATTTTCTTTTTTCTTTCTTCTTCCCCTTCTTTCTTTCTCCTTGATTTTATTTGTCACCATCTTACTTGTCTTCATATTTTCCATTATTGTGGTAGCCAAGAAAGCATTCCAAAAGCTAAACAGAGTCCTGAGAAATAGGAAACATTTCACTAGAAACAAGAAAAAGAGTACTAAACTTCTATGTGATATCTGTTCTCGGATATGACAGTCAGTGCTGAACGATCTCCTCGAAGATGAAGAGGAGACTTGAAGCAACAGAAATGCGCTTCTACAAAAAGATGCCGAAAATGTGAGTAACGACGAATTTTTGGAGAAAATGGAAACAAAACTGAAATTAATAACACCAGGAAGAGACAGTTGATGGTTCTAGGGCATATAATGAGGATGGGGTGGTTTAGAAAATCTGATACTCATGGGACAGATAGAGGACAAAAATGACAGAGGAAGACAACGCATGACATACTTGATGTGCTTTAGTAAATGGATAGCGGAAGAAATAACAGGAGAAATAACAGAACGACAAAGTTTATTAAGAGCAACAAGGGACAGGAAGTTGTGGAGAGTCATGATCACCTGTGTTCTGAGGGGAGACGGCATATAAAGAATTATTATTATTATTATTATTATTATTATTATTACGATCCTCTCTGACTCTTCGATGTTTCGGCCTGGTGATGAGGAAAATATCTCAGCTCCTACCCAGAGCTGAGAGGCACAGCACATGAGCTGTTCCAAGATGTGCTGCCACCTGAACACTCCCAATGATGCCAGGTACCCCTAAGGTATCCTGCCAGGTGGAAAGTTTTCTGTAAATACTCTGGAGTGCGCCAACCACAAAAAAAGAAAATATCCAGCTGCATCGGGCAGGACTTGTTTCCTCGGGTTTTTCGATCGCTCTGCCTTCACGATATTCTTATGTCAAGATAAGACAACGCCTATCAGGATCCATCCATGACTGCTCTTGTGAACAAGTGTAATGTTAGGGCGATCGCAATTATTATTATTATTATTATTATTGATTGATTTAATTTACAGCTTATCAACCCTTTGCACGTTATTTAAAGCCATATAATATTTTTAAATTGTAAGAATATTATTTTCGAGATTATGAAGATTTAATGATTTTTTAATTTTATATTGAATGTGTCATGGTATTATTGTTGTGTAGATGTCTTGTGCAACCAGGGACATCTATTATTTTTAGATATGGTGTTAACAAGACTTCACACATATAAAATCTTTTCGAAGTGTCCTCGCAGAGTAAATGATGGCAGTTTTCTGGGGACTACAATTATTGGTCTCAATTCTAATTTTCCCTAAAAACTTTTTCAGCTTTCTAGATGACGTTCCAAGCGGGTCCATTACTATAGGAATTACTTCTACTTTCATACTCTTCTAATTTTTATCTTTTTCTTTTTTTTGGAGTTCACTCAAGACTTATCATATGGAACAACAAAGTCAATAATTTGACGCTCGCTACTCTCTTTATCTACACCAATAAGATTGGGTTTTCTTACTTCAATTAGTTTACCTATCTGAACTGAGAAATCTCATGATATCTTTTCACTTATTATCTACCACATGTACTAAGGACATGTATTATTATATTGGTGCCGCACATTGACCTAATAATAATAATAATAATAATAAAAACAGACAGAACCATCAAAATTAATCGCTTAGACATCGTGATCAGAGACCACAAAAACAAAATATGCCTTCTTATTGACATGGCAGTCCCTGAAGACTGTGATGTATCTTTGAAGATATTCAAAAACTATCAAAGTACAAGGATTTTCAAATAGAAATCTCAGAAATGTGGCACGTGAGGATATCAACATTTCTAGATGTAGTTGGAGCCCTCAGTTTGATTGAAAAAGGTTCCTACAGACTCGTTGATGGAATCCCTAGTAGCGCAAGCATTAAAGAAATACAAAAAACAGTATTTACAAGTACAGTTCACGTCTTACGAAGGGCTTTATCTATGGAAAATGTCATGATGCTATTTCTAACCTTAGGTCTCTGTTTGAGACCGGAAAGAAATGAGTATACACCAGAAATCAAAGGAAATAAATAATAATAATAATAATAATAATAATAATAATAATAATAATAATAATATCTTCCATCACTGCTGATCAGAACCCAAACTACCGCCAATCACGATGAACGGATGCCACCGTTCCCCGAGGAGGGGCGTATCCGTGAGAATATTGGGCCTCAAACTAACACCCGAACTCAAGTGGAACTCTTATATATGATTCATCGCTAATGATGCATGTAAAATAATCGGCTCCCTGTATCGCTCCCGTAAATACTTGACTTCTCAGGCAATCCTCTACCTTTACAAGAGGTAGATCAGGACGAAAATGTAGTACTGTTGCCATATTTGGTCGCGAGCTGCCCAGTCCTCACTTTCCAGTCTCGATAGAGTACAAAAGTGTCTTCGAGGATTTATTAGAAATGAACTATTTTCCTCCCTCCACCGGCGGGATATGACGACCCTCTCGCTGCTTTATCGCTACCTCCATGGAAAGTGTTCGGGTAAACTACATTCTCTAGTTCCACCCGGTTTAACCTTCACGGCTAGAATCCTCCATGTCACTCACATTTGTAGCTACCCACCCACACTCGCTCCGTATTCTATCGACGAGAATTTACACTCAAACAGCTTCTTTCCCCGAACCACTTCTCTGTGGAACAGACTCCCAAAAAGATATATATATATATATATATATATATATAAATATAAAGAAATATAGTCTTAAGGTGTGCTATATTTATGGGATAAAGTGCTCAATATCAGAGATAGAGCGTGAATATATAAAAGTGAACATAGAAGTCAACACTTAGAGGCGACAGTCTGTTTCATGCTATATGCAATCGTCAGGCCACGTGTGCTGTTATTTTTCTCGGCTATTTATATATATACGGGTTAGTGGTGCATTGTGGGTATTCTATTATGGCGGTTATTTTTACCGGAAGTCGCTTTGTTCATTTATGCAGGCATGAAAATAAATTTTTACTACGTAACCTAAAAAATGAAAAACGGAAAAAATAAAATAAAAACAAATACAATAATAATAATAATAATAAAAAATAAATAAATAAATAAATACTATGTTGCTTAAAAACCGAAAACCAAAAAGAGAAAATATAAAAATAAATTGACCTAAATTCATCCAAGTAAATAAATAGGCAAACCAATCCCAAATTAAAAAACTATTCCCGCCAAAAAAATAATAGTTAGAATGAACTACAACAACCAAACAAAACTGTTAAATACGTGATATAAACAAATTTTTACTACGTTAATAAATAAATAAATAAAATAAGAAACAAAAAAAATAAAATAAAATAAAAAATAAATAAAAACGAGCAATATAACTTGACCCAAATAAATGAACAAAGCGACTTCCGGTAAAAATAACCGCCATAATAGAATACCCACAATGCACCACTAACCCGTATATATATAAATAGCCGAGAAAAATAACAGCACACGTGGCCTGACGATTGCATATAGCATGAAACAGACTGTCGCCTCTAAGTGTTGACTTCTATGTTCACTTTTCATATTATATATATATATATATATATATATATATATATATATTTTAGTTGGATAGATGTGAGTTTCTGACCCTGGTTTCACGCTTTAGCGATCGTCAGCGTGAAACCCAGGGTCACAAACTCACATCTATCCAACCAAATATGTTAGCTCTATCTCTGAGATTGAGCGCTTTCTAATAAGTACTGCGCATATAATATATAAATAATTATACATATATATATTTATTTATATTTATATACAATTTTCACATATATATATACATATATTTATGCATACATACATACATATATGTGTGTGTGTGTGAGTGAGTGTGTGTGTGTGTATTATTTATTTTGTTTGTTTCTTTTCTATTTATTTATACTTATTTTTAAGACGCTTTTAAAGAAACCAGGTAAATAAGATGAACTTCTCCGCTATTACTATAGTCCGGTTTATATAACAAAATTTCAATTATGCAACGATCACAAAACTCAGATTCGTTCTACCGATGAGGAAAAATGCATATTTATTATTAATACATAGTTTATAACTCTGTGACCCGACACCGAGCACTATTTATTTACACCAGCACTCAATGTGCGATATTGTATATTTATATACATATATGTGTGTGTGTGTATGTGTGTGTGTGTGTGTGTGCGTGCGTCTGTTTTTTCTGATTTTTATATGTTATGAATGTGCGTTTGCCTGTCTTTGTATGTGTATAACTAGGTGATATGTTGATATATATATATATATATATATATATATATATATATATATATATATATATATATGTATGTGTGTGTGTGTGTGCGTTTTTCTACGTTTTTTAAGTTATGAATGTGTGTGCGTCTGTTTTTTCTGATTTGTATATGTTATGAATGTGCGTTTGTCTGTCTTTGTATGTGAATAACTAGGTGATATGTTGATATATATATATATACATATATATATATATATATGTGTGTGTGTGTGTGTGTGTGTGTGTTTTTTTTACGTTTTGTAAGTTATGAATGTGCATTAGTGTGTTTTTTGTATGTGCATGACAATGTGTTATAATTTTGTGTGTGTGTGTGTGTGTGTGTGTGTGTGTGTGTGTGTGTGTGTGTGTGTGTGTGTGTGTGTGTGTGTGTGTTCACGGATTTTCTAACAAGCTAATTTCGCTTTCTTACTTTCAACACGAAGAAACGTGAGGTCACATTCAACTACCTTCTCGACACGCTCAGATAATTACAAGGAAATCTCCGTGCGGCCAGCAGTTGCCGCTTATTTGCATCTGTCACAATCCTTTGACCAGAATGTAATTAGGCATGTCCCACTAAAAGGAACACAAAATGTCGCTTTTGTTTATCTAATGCGTCTTCAAGTTTCCCACAAACCAGACATGCATTTATTTTTTTTCCGGTTCTTTTTGGAGAGATATTCCTTATAAGTCTTTCTTTCACGGAACGATTCTTTTTGTTAACACGTCTGTCAGAATCAATTTACTTCCAACTCAAGTGTTCGACAATTTGGTAAATGGATTTATTTAAGAGCAGTTAGGACATCCAGCAGCTGGCAATTATAAAGTTGTCAAAATTTCATATCCTCTGAAATAAAACAAGCAAGCATCTTTAATTATTAATTTCTGTCTAGATCAATCTTAATGTCACACTAGCCAGAAATTGATAATTAAACACATTGTAGTTAACTGTTTTGTTTTAGAGAATCACCTTTAATCCTTTCTGGAAGTGAATGCGAGACAAACTGGAGACTTGAATCAATGGATGTGGTTCTACAGAAGGATGCTGAGAATAACATGGACAGAGTATTTGATCGACAAGGAAGCAAAACATAAAAAAACACATAGAATCAGAAAAGGAGAATTGAATCTTTTGGGACACATAATGAGGAAAGAAGATGTGGAGAAATTGATACTCGCAGAACATACTGAAGAGGCAGGGGGAACAGTGAATAACCAACCTAACGAGCTTTAGAAAATGGATGGTAGAAAATAGACTGAAAGGGATAGTAAAACGACAAAAACTACCAAAAATCTAGAAAGTATAAGAAGTTGTGTAGAGCCATGGTCACCAATGTTCCAAAGAAATACGTCACATAAAAGAAGACAATGTTGAAGGAGAAGAATTGTCATATTATTCTTGCTTTTTTACTCTGATATCTTGAATATCATTTAAATTAAATAGCACAAAACAGGTTCTCGGTATCACGTTTTTCACAGACGGTACATTAACCAGTTCTGCTACTGAAGTTTTTGGCTAGATGAGAAACAGATCTACCTTCTTCTTCTTCTTCTTCTTCTTCTTCTTCCTCCTCCTCCTCCTCCTCCTCCTTCTTCTTCTTCTTCCTCCTCCTCCTCCTTCTTCTTCTTCTTCTTCTTCTTCTTCTTCGTGCAGCATCCCTTCAGAAAATCTGTGATCATAGCTCTCTTCAACTTCCTTCCCTTTTTAGCTCTTAATAAAGTCTATCTTTTTGCTATCTCACCTACTTACCAACCATGATCGTTAGCTAGTTAGGTAGGTTATGTGCTGTTTTCTTATGTTACTAAGGTCGTCCATATATCTGTAGCGTTTTAGTCGTGCGAAAACGAAGAAAATAAACAATCCTCAAACCCTGCTTTACAAATTGAAATAAATTTTAATACTAAGTATTTGTTTTCTTTCGAATTAAAAGAAATGAATTATAAAGATTCCTTACACAAAAATATTTTATTTTTACAATAGAACTAAATAATTGCATTAGTATGAGAGAAGAAACAGAATATGCCTGCAAAAGTAGAGTGTCACGTATTTACGTTGTTTTATGAATGCGTGTAATTTTGTAGTAGTCAGCATTTAGGCATGTCAGCATGCCAGTACACGGGAAGCTGTATTAATGCTACAGCTAAATTTTGTGTTTACAATAACTCGGTTTGTATATTCTAAATCCGCTTAATTTAACATCCCTAAGCTTTGTAATAAAGTATGCTCGAATAAATATGCGAAGGGTTTTTAGAATTCAGCTTGTCCACAACAAGAACATCCAACTCTGGTCAAAGGTTTACGGAAAACCGAATAACTAACTTAACATCACGAATATTTGTAAGACACTTTTATGCTCCAAAAATCAAAAAAATAGATTTTACTAAACTCAGATTTTATTGGTTAATAAATAATTTGGCCATTTTTAAATATCTATTGTTAGGAGGGAAATTATTTTTGATCATTTTCTGAAGTTATCCTACAAGTATCGTTGCAGACGATAATTTCAAAGGTGCCGCGCTTTTACTATTGACGTCGCTGATTGGTCAATATATGTTAATATAGAAATTCAAATCGGGGCCTTCATTTTGCACAAAAATGAGTTTTTAGCAATAGCACTAAACATCTATTGCATTTTTCTACAATTCCTTATGGGATTCTACATGTCCTGCGAGTGGGAAAATTTCTAAGCCCTCTTTCCTCATTATGTGCCCTAGAGATGTAATATATAAACTTCTATACGACAGTGAATGCTAAACAATCTCTTCACAGATAAAAGGATCAGTCAGTTATGTGCTATGCAGGATACACGCTTAGGCGATCATGTATCTTTTGATACATGACTGACGAGGCAGATTTTTCCCGCAGTAGGTTACCATTTCTTTCTGCGGTAGACCAGTTTTCATCCAAGTCTATAGAACCCAGACTGTCCTGCTATTTACCCATAGATGGAGGGAAAAGAAGAGAATCCATACCTTTCCCAAGGGTATTAGTACGTAAGTGAATGTAATGGATTCGACTGGAACTCGGCTCTCCGATTCCTCAATCCGGGCCGCTATCCATTACTCCACCAGAACAGAAATATTCTAGCATTGAATGCTAAAAATACAATTGACAAAACATATTAGCTATGAGGTCCCCATAAAAGACCTAAGTGCCGCACAAGGTAGAAGGTAACAAAATGAGATCGTTGTAAGGACAAACAGGGAGGGAGATAGAGTTGCATATTATGAGGATATGTAGGATAGATAAAAGTTGATCATAGACATGAAGAGGTTAAGATTTTAACGATCAGGAAAGCATCCTCTCGAGAGTCCTTTCGACAGTGCAACAGTTCCAAGGAAGAAGCAGAGTGGAACTTCCTCGTCACCAATGGAATACAAAGGGAATGTGGATGAGTTGATTCAGTTTAAGTGGCCTGGCGGGTTGTAGCTGTCAAGGCTTGAAATGGCGGAACAAAGGACACCTGCAAAGCGACGTCGAAAATGGTGATCGAGTAATGAGAGGCCTAGCAACGTTTCGCATGTGAGAAAGTTGTTGTAGGGTGGAAAACAATTAATCAACTACAAGGCCACAGAATGTGAGAATTGTGTCGCTCAAGGTTAAATGTGGCAGCAATATTCCTTCTTTTTTTTTTTTTTTGGTCTAATTAGACCTTTGTAATCATGGATCATAGCAGAAGTCTGTGAAAGTAAACACGAGGAAAATGTATCCTTTGTGTCGAAAAGAGACGTCTGACATTTCTTGGACGCATAACGAGGAAAGGGGACTTGTAGAAATTAACACTGACAAAACATCCTGAAGGTAAGAGAAACAAAGGAAACAGTAAATATTATTAAAGAGCTTGTGTGAGTTGCTGACAGAACAAGGTAGTGTTATTGCTATTGCTATGGCCAACACCGCCAGTCCTCTTTCCTCAAATATTACATGTCTCATATACCAAATATATTATCCAAGACCAATTATATGTATTAGATACATTGTCGCTAGTTTCATTATATTTACACGGAAATCTAAAAAAGCTAAAAGAAATACTTGAACGTCACCCTGTAGTTTACTTAACAAGAAGTAAATATTGATTTCAGGTAAAAACCTTATCGACTATCTTAAACAGACTCTGAAAGTCCTTTGCAGGACTGGATCAAGGTTATTGTGTCCCCACCCTGAATCTATAACACAGTCCACCTCCGAATCTATGATATGTGACCCCCCACACCTACATCACAATTTTCATAAGGAAGTATTCATATAAAATATAAATTTTATTGTAAACTAATTATGTACAATAATGTATCATATATATTTTTAAGTCGGTATCATCTCAAGCAAGGCAGTACAGTCGCTGGCACGCAAGAGGTTACAGGGTGTTGAGGAATTAGTAAATGAAAAAAAACATTAGAATTAGAAACATTAGTAATGAAAAAAAAAAGCAATCAATAGGACAGTAGATAGCGATTAATATTGCATTTAAATTTTTCAGCTTAAAGTTGGTTGAAATGCGGGGAGCCGAGAGGGAGTTCCACAAGCGAGAAGTGCGAGAAAAGAAACTGTTAGTATAGAGGTTACAGCTACATCTAGCTAGATCAACTGTACATTGATAAGATCTCGCCACCAGTCTCGTATTGCGCTTAAATTCACGCAGCCTTGGTAGAATAGCGTAGAGCTCAACCGAACAATTACCGTAAAAGTATTTAGAAAGAAAAGGCACAGAGGCAACCTTACGGCAGTAGACAAGTGAATGAAACCGAGCCGCCAGATCAGGACCAATAATATTGCTGATTCTTCTTTGGGTTTTATCAAGGAGCTCCAGGAAAATAGAAGAGGCACCGGACTCTATATGGCAGCAATATTCTAAGCAATGGTGAATGATATACAAGATAGATTCTGGAAAGAAAAACTGTCTCGCTCGACATTCTTAGTAGCTGATCTGGCCATGGATTCAATTCAGTGTTTCCACTTCATGTCAGCTGAGAACGTTAGCCCAGGAGGCGCAATGCGTCATTTTTTGGAGGATAGCATCAGCCCTGCTGATGAAAGGCAGAGAGGGGTCTCTCGGATGATTAATGGAAAGTTTTGGAGGGGTTAAAATTGACAAGGCATCTTTTTTCCCAGTTAACGACGGTCTTGAGGTTGTTGATGCAATATAAGTCGGGCACCTCGACGTGGGTGTAATGGTTAAGCAAGCTTGTCTCGCTAGAACAATTACGACTGAATAGTGAGTACGATTTTCACTGGGTGCCCCGTACTTTCGGCTTTGTACCACGTTTACGTTGCGTTTCGAAACTGTATCTAAATACCAATTAGAAAGATTTCGTAATAGATCATTCTATATTAAAAAAAATAACAATGTTTTGCGGAAAAGTTGAATAATCTTGACACATTCAACACTATAGATAAAAAATAGGGAATTTTTTTTTTTTTTTTTGAGAAAAACAAATTCACGTGTTTGGAGGAAGACAGAAACACCAAAATTACGTCAAAATCTGAAAAAAGATTTTCATCTTTTAATATTAGTCAGTATATAAATCAGGCATGCCCACATCCTTGTTTGGAGTTCGCGGGTATTATGCACCGGCCCTGTACCATTTTTAGACGTAGATCCTTCCCGGATCTTCCTCTTTGCCGATCATGGTGTGAAATCGCCCTGACCCTCTCGTATCAGCCCTATATCTGTTGCTACAGCACTTACGGCACTAACATTCTCATCCAAGTAATGATCAAGCTCGACGGTGCTTAACTTTAGAACCGGTATTTCAAAATGATATGCCTATAAGTTCAAATCCTCTGAATCCATGCAGGTGTGTCCCAAGGCCTCAAGGCTCCCTATTCAGGCCTACTCTCTTTTATGCTTTAGATTAACAACCTGCCGCAAAATATTTTCAGATCATTAGTAAATATATAAGGAAAAGATACCACGGTTTATGAGTGCACCTCCAAAAATCGAGATGACCACAGCCTAAGAGCTGATCTATCCTCTAACAGCTCAATTAATAATTACAATTAAATTATATCAATTTCATGTCAGTAATTGAACCTCCTCTGAACATTTAAGTGCAAGCGATGAACTTTCAGTTAAGTCAAAATTTAGTTTAGAGGGGGAAAATCCTTGTTTGGCTCTATTAAAAGGCAATAAAAGAAAAGTCTTGATCACACTAAAACATTTTTTCTAATCAAAGCCCCGCTTTCGGGGGCGTTTATTTTATTAAGTGGTATTGATCTAATTTTATTTATTAATTTACTTTAATGATTTTAGGTAATCAATTTCTGCTGTAATCTAATATTTCATTAATAATTATTGTTCTTTTTTATCTTTTATTAATTTGATGGAATGTTATTTTGTCAGAATTTAGCAAGGCATGACGCCGGTAATGATTCTAAGCTAAATCAAGGATCTAACTCGTGGATCGAACGTAACAAGGCTGCCAGTAATAATAACAATAATGTTTAAGTCGAGCACATTATAATAATAATAATAATGGCAAATTGAACACTAAATAACAATAATAATAATAATAATAATAACTATAATGGCAAGTCGAACAACTTATGCTCATAATAATGGTGTGTCGAACACAATATAATGATGATAATAATAGCAAAATAGATGCCATATAACAATAATAATAGTAATAACAAATCAAACACCATTTAATGATAAAAATAATTGCAAGTCG